GATTTAGGCTAAAATAAATATTTGCAGGTGGGGTGTTTCAGGAGTCGTACTTTCTGTCTTTGCAGAGCATGATAAGTAGCTGAATAATGGTAAACTATAATTGTGCATGACAATGTAATTCCAATACATTGATAATCAATTTGAATGTTTGTAACTAAAATAAATGAAACACACACACATCTTTACGGACATGTTAGATATTTTCAACGCAATATTTATATACAGGTGTATGCGAGAACAAGGAGTACCCCGTCACTTAATGTAAGTGAGAATTGTCTCTGGATTTTCTCCGATGATGTCAGGTTGGCCTGCCTGAATCCATTTATAACAAACTCTGTATATATAGTGTCCATATGAAATTGTTTTGAAAATTAACATAAGATATAATAGCCAGTCTGCTATGACATGATTGGTTACGTTTGCCACTGTTTTCATGCCATGGAGAAGTCATGATATTGTTTTTAGTTTGAATCTTTAAAACAATGTAATTAAGAGATGGCTGCATTTAGTTGCCTTTTGTTTCCCAAACATAACAAATATCAAATATCACAGTCGATTTAATGCCTCTATATATTAAAGCAAATATTTTTCGATGTCATTCAAAAACCATACACAGTGAAAGGACAACCTAGTTAAATAATTTTTCACAGTGTTGTCTTGTATAATTACATGTACTTTACGTCACGTCATGTCAGTAGAAGCGCATAATACATATATTATGAACATATAAGTTATATTTGATATAATTTTGGAGGCTATAAACCCCTTTCCCTTGTGCACCATCAAACTGAAGGATACAATAAACATTTTATGTAGTGCGCCTTGCTGACAAGTGTCACATACACTTACCGTCATTGGTACTTAAAAAGATGGAACAAAATAGACAGAAACACCATGCTGTAGTATCCTACTAATAACGAAAATCGTATTCGGCAGTTCATGGACAAATCTCACATTAAAGACAAATGTACATATAGAGGTTACACAACGAGTGGTTGTTGAATATGGTATTTATTTCACTCGAGTTAGTTAATTTTCAAAAGTTACAAAAGACACGAGCTTTAGCGAGTGTCGTTCTGTGATTTTTGAAAATTAACTAATGAGAGTGAAATAAATACCATACTCAACAACCACGAGTCGTGTGATCTGTTTCTACCACAATCTCAGTCGGAAACACCTGGAGTATTTCCGGATTTGAATAGCATACGCACATTTTGTTGACAAGGCTGGCGAAGTGATATGACCCATATGTAAAAAGTTACTCATTTATATTAAAAAAAGGCCTTTTTGTTTTTTACAAATTTAATGTTTCGGCAACGAATTCGTTGAAAAACAAAATAGATGAACGACTTGAAATATTGAGAGTATAATAACCCACTTTTACCTTACGCCCCATCTGATATCGTAAACAAAACACATATGCATACAGAATATGTCAATTTCCTCGGAATGTTTTTTATTGTGGTAGAAACAGGTTACACAAACTCGTGGTTGTTGTATATGGTATTTATTTCACTGATCGAGTTAGTTATTTTTCAAAAGTTACAAAAAACACGAGCTTTAGAGAGAAAGAAAAAAATACCATCTGATATTGTTAACAAACCCATATATATGCATACAGAACATGTCAATTTCCTCGGAATATTTTCCATTGTGGTAGAAACAAGTTACACAAACTCGTGGTTGTTGAATATGTTATTCCTTTCACTCTCGTTGGTTATTTTTCAAAAGTTACAAAAAACACAAGCTTTATCTTGTTATTTTTTAACCATTCGATGAGAAAGCAAAATTTGCTGTGAAAAATAACAGACAACGGGTTTGCCAATTGTGCCCCCTTGGGCGCTAAAAACACTATTTACTGAGGTGAGGCAACGTGGGGTATATTCTCTCAATCAGTTTGTTCGTCAACAATATCCACCATAGCCGGTGTTTTTTTTTGTTATGCGTATGACAAAGGCTGCGAGTGACAAAGGGAGAAAGACGCTACATTCTATCATAGGGCTTTGTCCCTCAGCATGTGATATCAATCCTCTAGTAAAAATCAGTCTTTATAAGAAAGTGATACTACCTTCAATTCTATATGGATGTGAGCACTGGGTTCAACTCGGTAATACCGACCTCGCGAAACTTAGTCGCTTTCAACATTACGCTGCTAAGGTCATTCTTGGAGCTGATCGTCGTGCCAGGTCAGATATTGTTGAGCCTATACTTGGTTTGATTAGAATTTCTGCAGCTATTGATAAGAGGAAGCTAATATTCCTGGGAAAGCTTGTTCTGATGGAGCAGTCTCTCTTAACTAAGCAGATCTTCACAAGAAGACTATATTCATTCCTTCATTTGCAAACAGAAATTGTTGGAAGTATTCGTGAAAGAGGGTTTGTTCCGGATATTGTGCAGATAATCTACAAATATAACCTGTCGTCTTACTTGGATGCATACCTTTGTAACTACACGTTCCCCTCTAAGCTTCAGTGGAAGGGAATAGTGAGAAATTCTATAATGGCTACAGAAAACCTGACCCTAAAAGATCGACTAAGAAACAACCTTGATTTTGATATATTTAGGAACTGTCACTCCTCCTACAACCCGTACATTATGTTGCGCGCGGCAAAATCTAACAGAGACATAGAAGCAATTTACTCATTGTGCAGATTATTGGCAAAGCCTTCGGCAACTGACCAGAACCTTTGCTCCAAGTGTTCCCATCATTTCTGTGACGTCATATCTCACTATTGCTGTACCTGCGAGTGCACCAGCGAACTCCGGGCTCATTTTCTTCAGATGACCCTGTATACGTTTGGATTGAATGTGTTCAATTAAATTGATCAACATGACACTGCTACCCTTATTCACAATTTATTAGGTGCAAAAGCAGGTCCCCAATTTCAGAATGATACAACTCAAAAACTGTTTCTGATGCATGCAGCATACTTTGTCGTGCGCGCTTCGCGAACTCAAGTGAATGGAATGATTTAAGAAACCATGACTAAGACCTTTACTCGCATTCGCGAGGACACAGTTCCTTAGCTGCGCCCTACCGCGGCATTTTCTGTCCTTTTTGTATTTTTTTCTTTTTTTTCTTGTACACAAATATCTCCTTTTTGGAGGAAATAAAGTTTGATGATGATTACATTGGGAATACTTCAATAAATGATGCAGGTAGGATTGCTCTGAACGCATGCATGAAAATGCTAAATCTGACCTTTAATTAACACTGCAGTGCCTTCCTTATATTCAAAAATATAAATAAAATTTTAACATAAGAAAGGAATTTCATATCTGGGTAATTATAAATTCTGCATAGATCAAAAATGTTCAGTGTTGCAAACTAAATTTATTTGTCATTATTTTAGAGCAATTAAAAGATATCTTTCGATTTGAATTATTCCCTTAGCAATATATACCCTGAACCATTCACAATTGTATAGATTACTATATCTTTACATGGACATCTACTATGAACTTTTCTATGGAGCAGAGGATATTGATGACAGTGTGAATGTGTTAGGGTTGAAAGTATGAATGCGTTTAGTTTCAATTAAATATTCCTATTAAAACCTCCTATTTCATCCACGGGGTCTTAAGCATTTATTACAGCTATATTTGGACCTAAATTAAGATGTTCAGAGTAATTTTACGCGTTTTAGGGGTAAAAGTACCACCCCCAATGATGATATTATAATATATCATCACTGGGGTTGGCATTTCTACCGAAAGTTGATATAAACCCCTAAAAAGCGTAACACATCATTGGGGGGTGGCATTTTTTACTGAAAGGTGATCTATACCCTTAAAACGTGTAAATAATGATGATATTTTATGCATAGATGTAGATTATCTAATGACAATCTCCTTTAGCCTGCAAAATTTGCATAGAAAAATGACGACAGCATCAAATCAACTGATATCGTTTATTGATTATTTACATCATATAAGTCTGGAATGGATTGAACACTACATTTGTATAAAGCAGTTAACATGAAATCGCGATCGGTAAAACTAGCATAGCATGAAATAAAAAGTACATGGAATGTGCAACAACCCAAATATGCATAACATGGAACATAGACACTTAAATATCAACGAAGGAAATACAAATGTACATAAAACAATATTTATGACGGTGATCCCCTTCCATAAAAAAAGTGTATTCGTAACGATTTTAATATACCATATACTAACCATCTCGACATGTCTACCTTAAATGCATATATATACTTACAAAACAAAATGTGAAAATAGCTTGCCAGGATTTATTTATAAGGATCCCTGTCCCGTTGCAGTCTGTATATTTTTTTCTTTACAAAGTAACGTTCCCTGATCTTACGTTTTGATATGTAACTGTAGCACAGTTGGACCTGTTGACAATGTAGCTTAATCGATTAGAGTGATATTATAACAGCGTTCAAATCCCAGTCTGGCACATTTTTTTTTTTTTTTTTTTTTACATTTGGAACACTAGCTAGCTGTTGTTGATTCATATTTTGTTTATTTCGTTTATCTACTATATATATATTTCTAATTTTAATCCCGCAATGCAGAACTTTCTTTTCAGAAATTATTTATCCACTTAAGCTATAGTCGTGCTAACGGTGCGGGTTACTCAAAAGTAATTTAAAACTTTAAATTGTTATTTATCGATTCTATTGACACACAATTATTGCAATTTGCAATTTCCTTAAAAAACCCACAAGCAATCAATAATTGATAAATGTAATTGAGTTGGATTCATTATAAATCATCTCAGATCAATATAATAACACTATATACTGTTCGTGGTCGGTAGTTATGACTTTAGCAAGACTACGTACATAGTTTTCTCAAGTTTGAGAACCTCTATTGGTTAATTGGTATTTCAACAAATCAGAGTGTACAAATCCTGATGTGAATACACATAGAATAGTTTTAATAAAATATATCATTTTTTTTTGGGCTTATCATAACTACCTATTCATCGCGGCTGCCCAAAACTGATCGATTACTTGCCGACGGAAGTAAGCTCTACGCATGTGTAGTGAAAATAAAATTGCACCACGAGACAAACATAATAACGTAAGTGAGACGGTAATACTTGTTTCTGTGCTGTCAATATGTGTTTGTGATAGGCCTGGTTTGTTTACACTTTACTTAAGCTATATATATTGTTTACCGATTGTGTTACTATGGATCCTTTGATCGCCAGACAGGTGAATATATACCCGAGTACGTGTTTGGCATGCAGCCTCGATTTCATTTGGGGGGAAATTCGATTTAGGATCAATATTAGATAGGCCTATATGAACCTGATATTTCTAAATATTAAATTGAAATCCAATAAGTGTGTACATAATGTGTTATGGATTTTAAGTCAATGTGTTAGAAATACCTGATACAATCGCCTATGATATAGCTTTATCCTAAAAACCGCAGGGGTTCGTTACAAATTCTAATACACATTCTCAAACACAAGGCGTATGTTTATATGTGCTGTGACTCATATCAGTATAGCATATATGTGTAACATCTAAACCCACGTTCGATTGTGCTAGCGTTTATCGACCCCTCGATAAATGCTAGTAAGTATAATAAAATGTGGGATTTTGACGACGATATGTGTATTAGGCGTTAATGTTTAGGTGTTCTGTGGCCCATGTCCCATATTAGCAGTATAGCATAAGTATGTGTATTAGAAATTTGTAAGCCCCCCCCCCCCCCCCCCCTCGAAAAAGACTTTATTGTCACTAAATTTCAAACCCCTAATGAATCATATTCAAAGATCCGCATAAAAACCTCACCATGTAATCGGAACTCATATATATAGTTTGGATATATTGAACTTGTCTATTAGCTATAAAAATAATCCATAGCGTTAACGTCGTCAATAACACAACTATGTAAGACATAATGCTAATGTCTTCATAAAAAACAGTTCACCGGACTTATTACATTAGCGACCCAACTGAATGCTTGGAAATGACATATATTATCTTATGTTAATTAATTAACCACATTCATGAATACATCTAGGTTATGTGGAGCTTAATTTTCTTTCACTAACTGTAAAAAGGCCGATGATACCAGTCTCAAATCTATATAGATGTCACCGCCATGCGAAACTACTTAAATCATAGTAAAATTCCTTGGTAATACATGTATATTTTGGCAGATTACTAAATAAGAAAACAAAGGCAAAGTTACCTAAATCGATAAATGACCTTTAGATGGTGTGTTATTTCATAGCACTCTGTGCTGTTATAAATGCGTTAGACACTGAAACTGAAAAATATAAAATACCTGTCTATATATATCTTTCTTATAAAACAACGTTACATGTAACGGAAGGACACTTTATGTAAAGTTTATGCTTTCATCACGGTCACGAGGCTTCTGTTAACCTCGCTATGGAGCATTTTAGTTTCTGATGTACAAGTTCAATATATGTAAAACACATATATAAGATCCGTTTTTAATTGGGTCTTTGAATATGATTAATCATGGGCGTTGGAATTTAGGGTGACTATATATATGTAGCGAATATAGCTTGCAAAATTCTTTATAAAACGTCATAAGTTTTACGTTAAAATAATATATGTTGATGTATACAATAATCTAAATTAAATTTACATCTCCGGAAATATTCACGGTGTTTGTGTTTGACCTATTGTCAGTATTAATAAAATCTATTACCTGTAACTGAACGAGATCGGGTTATCTCAGTCGAGGGTTACGATTCTGTAACAAAATCCAAACTGAGGCGTAAGCCGAGGTTGGGATGTTACAGAATCGTAGCCCGACACTGAGATAACCCGATCTTGCTCAGTTACAGGTAATTGATTTTTTTTCTCGCACCTTTTAGTTCGATTTTTATTTCATTTTGCTAAACACTACAAGTATCCCGCCTTGAGCTTCCAATGGTACTGACCTCTTCAGTACTTCAGCTACATTTGAATGCTTCTGCGTAAAAATGTCCGTCCTTACATAGATTACAACGTATTTCTCAGTGTAGATTGTATTTTATCTACAACATCAAATATCTAACAACATCAAAACTATATATATAACGACAAAACAGAACATATATAATGAAAAGTGTCAATTTCAAGCAGGTAACACGCGGATGAATACATCGCAGTTTAAAAATTCCGCGAAATGTCAGTAAAGGTACAAGACAGATAAGACGAGATAGAAAAATCTAGCATAGGGTATCACGTTGGAAAATTCTGTCTAGGGTGCGAGAATAATAGAATCGTACATGAGTCCGTTCCGTGGACAGGGATATATCAACCCTCGTGTAAGAGTTTGGCTCTCAGCAAGCCTCGTGCTGACCAGCCAAACTTTTACACTCTGGTTAACGTTGAGATATCCCTGTCCACGGAACGGACCCGTGTAAGATTCTATTATTCTCGCACCCCAGACAGAATTATCCCACGTCATACCCCATGCTAGATTTTTCTATCTCGTCCGATCTGTCTTGTACCTTTACGTGGCATTTCGCTGTTGGATAATTCTGACTGGGGTGCGAGAAATATTTGTCTTATGTTGTTAAATATCGTTTCACTATAATAAGTCGTTCAAGAAAAAGACAATCTATTTAGGTGTATTATAAAATATATATTTATATGTGTACAATGACTATAAAACTTGTTTAGAAACCAGTTACCGTTGTAATGGTATCCACAGTGAACTTTTACTTTACTTTTACATTTTTTCTCAGATTTATTTGTAATTTCTTGAAACTAATCTGTGATGTTCTTATATAGAGTATTCCGTCTTTGCGTATTGCAGAGTTATCTTCTCTTGGGAGCAGGTATTGATTGTTACGTCACTTGTTTGTGAGAGAAACGTCATCAATTTTTGAGAAAACGACTTAATTTTCTCACACAGACCAATGACGTAACAATCAATACCTGTTCCAAAGAGAAGATAACTCTGCAATACACAAAGACGGAATACGCCGTCAAAATTTCACTGAGTAATTTTAGTTATGAATTATAAATATTATGTAAATATACATCAAACAGTCGGTGTTATGCTGATGTATATACGTCTGTTGTTTAATTGGCATATATGGCACGTGATGTACACGTATACACAAAAGGGAAATACGCGTAGTGACCACTACAGAGGACGCTTCCGACAAATTATTTCTTGATGTGTTTAAATATACAGTGGCATTTATAGAAAGGTTTCAAATTCGCAGAAAATGGCCGAGGGTGATCATTCCTTGTCGAAGAAATCCAAGAATGAACCAGAAGAGGAAACCGTCCAACATCACAATCAGGGATTTAGATTCAGTGAGGATCCTTCCCTTGAGAAAATGTACGTAATAAATCTTATACCCCTAAGTGATCAATCACTGAATTAGGTAACCGGTTCCCAGTAGTCTGGCGTGTTTTCGAATTATTCAAAATCCATTATTGAAACTGTGTCTATGGTACTGTAAATCAGAATCTAAATGATTATCTGAGACAGTTATATGTCCATATATCTATGCACAACCTGATACTGGATCCAGAGGTTACGCTCACTTATGTCTTATACAGAGGGGTAAGTGGGGGTAACTCCTGGAGTCACGCATCACTAGTCAACTCGGCAGAATCCGTGCCTACATTGATGAAGGTCATTCACAATCTCTACCAGTGTTGTCGTTCCTTATACTCACTTGTCATGTGTGAGGGACGACAACTCTGGGTAGAGATTGTGAGGAAGGGTACCAGAATCAGCTGAGGTATTGATGAAAGCAGAGACGTATACATATGTATACTACTATATACTATGGCTTTATATGTCTCTGATGAAAGGTACCGGAATGTAGCCGAGGTTAGCAGAATGAGCCCAGGTAGTGTTTACCGGAATCATTTTTGCTACTCAAGGGTCATTCGACTTACCTCGGCTAAGGCCCCTAGAATATTTAGGATGATCTTTGCATTACGAAGTATTAACTCTTCAAATTTCAAGTTACCGTCACTATGGGTACGGTTTATATAGAAACATAAAAAAACACCCAACTTTATAGAGTATATCCCCAACTTATGTACTCGCATAATGCGTATGTTAACCAGACATTGCACAAACATTCTTCCTATTTCGATCTTTATTTCAGACGAGAACTCCAGTCGATATTTGCCAGAGAAAGAAACTGGGAGCAGTTTCATACTCCAAGAAATATTTTACTAGCTCTAGTCGGGGAGGTAGGAGAACTTGCTGAAATATTGTAAGTTTAACAAACGCCCAGAACTGTTTCTTCAATAATAAAGGATTAACTGGAATGCATTTTGTTACGTTATTGAGCCATAACATACATGTAAAAAGGGAGTTTACCCTGAATAAACCGCAAAGCATTCAATGCAAGTTAGTGCACGTTTATTAATTTAATTCTAATATTAATAAAAAACGATTAAATATGTTCAAACTATTAATTTGATGAATCACGCATCAAATGATGCAATACATAGATCTATCAAAAAATCAATACGCCGACGTCACAGTGAAACTGTTTACAGCATCCAATCAAAACGGTTGTTACAGTTCTTTTGTCAGTTTTTTTTCATGTTTTGAACCGATAACGAAAAAAACTAAACCAATAAAAATGCCTATTTCAAACAGAATTAAATTCGCGGTATATTAAGGGGCGACTCCCTTTTTATGTAATGGCTCAATAACGTAAATAAAAACATTCCAGTTAATCCTTAAATAATATTCAAATGTCAAAGGTCAATGTTAATACCGATCATAATACTCAAAGTTAATACAATCGCTTCTCATGACCGAAGGTCAAGTCAAGGGCACTGGTACACTATATTTATATTGCACTCGGTTTCTGCATTAAAACTGAAGTTTCTATAGGCCTTTAATACCAAACTGTATATCATGTTTAAGTGCACCGGCTCCTCGGAAGGGGGAGTGGGGTTGGGAGTGGGGGTGGGGAGTGGGGCGTTTCTTAGCACTTCTTTAATATTACTGTACATACATGTACTATATAGATATAAATTTGTGTTGTAAACGTAATCTGTTGATGTCAATTACATAGCATTACTGTTACAATGTATTGGATGACTTTTATGAACATTAATGTTTACTGACAAAATTTGTAGTCCATATGTACATGTATATTCAAAAGGGATATAATCTAATATGGCTACATAATGTTTATATAATGTTGGACCATACAGGGTAAGTAAACTCTTTACTAGAGTTCATGTATAACCAAAAATAAAATAAAAAGTTAATATGGCTACGTGATGTTTATACTAGAGTTCATGTATAACCAAAAATAAAAAAAGAAGTTAATATGGCTACGTGATGTTAATTTAATGTTGTAGTCAATGGAAGGGTGAAGTAAAGGAAGGATTATCAGGTGAGTGGACTCATCAATGTCTGGATATTTGTCCATGAATGAAGAGTAGTACATAACAGTGAAATGAAATGTATAACAAACAAAAAAATACCCATGCTCAGCAAAAGCAGATTTGTTTAAAGAAAAGTTCATAAGTTTTCATCAAATAGATGGGGTTTTTTTTGTACCCAAATCAACTCGTATCACAGACTTTTTTTTTCTTAATTCTGATAGAAAAAGGAATTACTGTGTGTCTTTTTATGAATTATAATATCTGTCCTTGGAGAACTTGAAGTATAACTGAATAATTGTAATCTAGAATTGTGCATGAAAAGGTTATTCCAAGGTATTGATAATCAGCTTGAAAATGTTTTAACTACAAAAATCAAAAACATCTTAATGGACATCGTAGATATCTTCAAACTCCACAGTTACATTGTATTCCGTCTTTGCGTATTGCAGAGTTATCTTCTCTTGTGAGCAGGTTTTGATTGTTACGTCATTTGTTTGTGAGAGTAACGTCATCAATTTTTGAGAAAACGACGTAATTTCCTCACACAAACCAATGACGTAACAATAAATACCTGCTCACGAGAGAACATAACTCTACAATACGCAAAGACGGAATATGCAGCTGCTGTATGTTAGAACAGGAAGTACGCCATCCTCATTATTCAGGTGTGGTTACCGCCACTTAGCGCGTTAGTGATAATTACCTCCGGAATGTCTACGATGATGTCAGGTTGGCCTGTCTAAATCCATTTGTAACAAACTCTCTGTACCTTGTCCATATGAATTGGTTTGAAAATAAATATTACATATATGACCCAATTGGCTACATGTATTTCGTGATAAGTTACGTTTACTTTGGTTGTCATGCAATGGAGTAATCATCTCATGTTTTTAGTTTGAAATTTGAAAGCAATGGTGGCTGCAATTAGCTGCCCTTTAATTTGTTTCCTAAACTGAGAAAATGTCAAATATAAAACTCGATTTTGTTTTAATGCCTTTATAGATTGAGGCAGGGACGTATAATACTATATACTGTCCCTGATTGAGACTAATACATATTTTTTTTCGGTGTCATACAAAAACCTGCTCCGTGAAAGAACAATCTAGTAAACATAATTTTTAAGAGTACTTTCTCGTAATATTACTATACGTAAGAGGCGTTACGCCATATGAATAGTAACATTGTTTAATAAATATTACAAACATATAAGTGAAATTGATATAATTGTGGAAGATGTACCCCCCCCCCCCCCCCCCCCCCCCCCCTTACCTAGTTTCTGGGCAACACTTAACAGAAGGAGATGAAGAAGAATCGAAGACTGCAATGAACATCTCTACAGAGTATACATGTAAGCGTACAATAAACATCTTTATCGAGTATATATAGTGTATAAATGTCATTTCATAATGATATGTAAATAAACCTCTTTCGATTTCACAGATTTCACAGACAAGGAGAGGATTCATGTCGGTCATGAAATGAGTGACGTCTTACTATATCTAGTGCGCCTGGCAGACAGGTGTCACATAGACTTACCATCAGTGGTACTTAAAAAGATGGAACAAAATAGGCAGAAATACCCTGCTGACATAGTGTATGGCAAAAGTGACAAATACACAGAGTACCAATAAGGAGACTCCTGGAAAGCGAAGTACCTCGTTGATAAAGAAAAATGAATTCGACATGTCATGGACAGATCTCAAAATAAGAACATATGTATCTATATATATATATCAGCTTTGCAATGGGAATGTAGTTTACAATTTTCTATTGTGATAAACCTCACATTTTGTGATTTTCATGCTAAACCAATCATTCGGAAAGGCATCCTCGACACTCCAGGGGTTACGCTCTCTTTCGCTCTCTGCACCCCTAGAATATGTCATAGCAAAATTGAAGACAAGAAGATAGCTTTTTGATTGGTCTAAGGTAAAGAAAACCTGACCAATCGCCAGGTTGATACCTTTACTTTGAAGATTACAAAGGAGCGACACTCGACTTCAAAGCCTGTCAATTTTTACCGTTACGTGACCGCGAGATTCCTTTGATGAACGTTAACATCAAATGATTGAAATAGTCTTCTTATCTCGTCCACAAGATGGTTACACCGAGCCTCCGATTTTGCTATGACACACAGGGACTTGACACGTTCCTATGACCCAGAATGAAAAAAATACCCCATGGTCCGAACCCCCTCCCCATAATAAGCGATCTGGGGGTCGGACCATGGGGTATTATTTTCATTCTAGGTCGTAGGAACGTGTCGAGTCTCTGTGCTATGACATAAATATTCCAGGGGTGCAGAGAGCGAAAGTTGGCGTTACCCATGGAGAGTCAAGGATGTGGGAAAGGATTAATATGGTTTGTTGTGAAAAATAACAGACAACTGTCAATTTTGCCCCCTTTGGGCGTCAATGACATTCTTGACTGACGCGTTTTTTTACGGAGAGACAACGTGGGATATATTCTCTCAATCAGTTTGTTTATCAACAATATCCAAGGTAACTTATTTTGATTATGTCGTTTTTAGCGATCGCCTGTTAGAAGAACAGAGAGCTATTCCGTCTTTGCGTATTGCGGAGTTATCTTCACTTGGGAGCAGGGATTGATTGTTACGTCATTGGTTTGTGCGAGAAAATTGCGTCGTTTTCTCAAAAAATGATGACGTTACTCTCACAAACAAGTGACGTAACAATCAATACCTGCTCCCAAGGGAAGCTAACTCTGCAATACGCAAAGACGGAATAGCGATACCCACGGTGTGAGCGTCAGCGTCAGTGTGAAAATGTTACAGTTTTACCTGCAAGTTATTTAGAAGCTTTTCATTCATTAAATATGTGTACTAGGATGCTGGTATTTTGGCATGGAGGTTCCTGTTGGGTATACTATTGATGTCGTGAAAAACAATAAATAATTGCAAATATTTTAGACTTTTGACCTGTTTTGTACTTATCTTTTTTGAAGCAAATCAAGCTTAAAGTTTTACCTGCAAGTTATTTAGAAGCTTGTCATTCATTAAATATGTGTACTAGGATACTGGTATTTTGGCATGGAGGTTCATGTGGGGTATAATATTGATGTAGTGAAGCGAAAATAAAAAACAATTTCACTCAAATTTTTAATTATTGTATTATCTACCCTACTACTGATACTATTTTGATAAAATAAACCGAAAATGAAGGTTTCCTAGTTAAAACCAAATGGGATTAACAATGCATCAAGAAGGAACTCAAAATTTTGTAGAAAGTCTTGTACTTTCTCACATTTGCCATAGTGTGTGAGTTATTGTCTCTATTTCACTCTTAGATTGAAAACAAATAGCACTATCGGTAAGAGCTGCTTTAAATAGATAAGAGTTTGTTGTTAAAATGTGTTGATTTATTCTGTATTGAAGCAATTGAAATTATTTTTTAAATTTTAACTTCACTTCATCAACATTTTGCCCAACAGGAACCTCTATCCAACATATCAGCATTCTAATACACATATTTTTAAAAATTCCTCTGGGGTAAAATATCGATGAAGTGAAGATAAAACTTTTTTTTTTAAGACTTTTGACCTGTTTTGAACTTTACATTTTTGTAGCACATCGACGTTACAAGTTTTTGGTTCAAGCTACTTAGAACCTTGCCATTCATTCAATATTGGGCTATACTTTTGATGAAGCAAAGGCACAGTTAAAAAAAAAAAAAAATTGTTTTATTTTTTTTGACAGATTTTGATCTTTACATTTTAAGAGCATACCAGCGTTACAAACAATATTTTCTTTCTTATGTTTTTTTATCTACTCGTATATCATTTACAGATGGTAATAACATATTTATAGAAAAATGTATATACTCTGCAGTAGTTAGGGCGCTCGCTTCGTGCTGGTATACTGGTGCTAGAATCCACGGTCACGGGATCAAATCCAGGTCGGATCAAAACCTAAGACTTTAAAATAAGGAAATCGTCTCACTCCTTGCTATGGATAATGTGACCGAGTGAAGTATCATGTCAATGTGTGTGCGGCATGATGTTTCAATGAGACCGCACTATAAAGTTACCATAAGTATATCTGTCGCAAGCAGACACTGTCTCAATGTGACCTATCCATAAGTTCAAGGGACGCTAAACCCCAATAAGCAAACACATTTTTAAAGACAATGCATTTTTATAAACAGGCGAGCATTTGGTGGCTTTGACAACATCTTTGGTTGGTTTTGTTTTTTGTTTGTTTTTCTGTTTTGTTTCATTTCCAAACAAAGATATTATCTACGGAACTGATAAGATATCCAACTTCACCACTGGCGATTTAGGCCAGGATCCAGTAGTTAACTTAACCTTAAAAATGGGTAGTTAGGTGAATTCATGGTTTACCATAGTTTTACATAAAGCGAAAGGAGATAATATTCACTTTAAAATAGTGTTTTCTTATATTAAATTTGAAACTAAATTTTTTGATGTTCTATTTAGCGGCAATTAACTTCTGTTTCAAAACTCATTTGGAATTTTCGTAGAAGATCTAGAGCTAACTTACATTGTTCAGTAAGTCACTTTCTAGTTCTTTGTGTTTACACTGATCATGCAGTGTTCACCTTCTTGAATTAGCGACCATGTTCATGATTTCCGAGTATTCAAATATGACTAAGTATGAATGATCGACAAGTGAATTATAGGGTGCATCGACAATAGTATTTCAATTGAACAATAGTATTTCGTAGTACAATATGATGCGCGTCCATGATTATATTTTGTAACAGTATACACTATTTTGCAGTGACGTATATATGGGAAGATATAACAGCTCAGTCAAACCAGATTCTACACCAAGTACGATATGATATGAGTCATTTAATGTTGAGCGTTCGCCCTGGTGAGGTTCTGTCCCCAGGCCGGGACATATCAAAGTCCTTAAAAAATGGTACATGTAGTTGTTATTCACTGCTTAACGTTCAGCATTTAAGGTAATGGCAACAGCTGGTTTACCCGTTTAAAAGTGACCAGGCGGACTGATGTGCTGGTAGTCTGAATTATTCTGACGTTTTATCGACTTTTTTCATGAAAGATTTCTTGTTTAATGATGATATGTTTGATATTCTCAGAAAATTCTAAAACTAGAAAATGGCTGCAAAACAATAACACGCTCCCACTTTAATAGAAAATTGGCTTAAACACATGTAGACTAGCAAAAAAATTCAGCAAAAGTCTAACCTCAGTCAGTGAAAGAGAAAATATAGATATAGGTTTGGAGACCTACATGTGCATTTGATAATTTTGATTATTAGCAGAGCTTACCGCAGAGTCTAACCAAACTCAGTGAAGTGGAAAATACATGTCGCAGTGACCTATATATGTAAATAAAATTACATATATTTGTATTGGTGTGGTGGCTGTATGGGTTTAACCATCCCCGATATCCAGGGGTCCCGTTCACTTTCGCTCTCTGCACCCCTGGAATATGTCATAGCGAAATTGAAGGCACGAAGATAGCTGTTTGATTGGTCTCGGGTAAAAACAAATGACCGATCGCTAGGCTGATACCTGTCCTTTAAAGAATACAAAGGAGAGATGCCCGACTTCAAAGCCTGTCAATTTTTACCGTTACGTGACCGCGAGATTCTTTTGATGTACATCAAAGGATCGAACTAGTCTTCTTGTCTCATCAACAAGGTGGCGCACACCGATCCTTCAATTTTGCTATGACATATATTCCAAGGGTGTAGAGAGCGATAATGAGCGTAACCGCTGGATATCGAGGATGATTCCATGGGTGTAGAAATCGACAGTGAGCGTAACCCCTGGATATCGATGATGGGTTTAATGTGCAAGTTGATGTCACTTGGATTACCCAGCCGGGCGTTTGGGTGTTAAAAAGTTCGTGACCACGAGTAACCGGTTGCGAGTCGGAAGTCAGTATTTAGTATTACAAATTGTAAATGTTTTAAATATTTCTTTTAATTTCAAATTAAAAATAAATATATAATGATAATGGTACAAATTACAATGGTGCACCATTCAGGCGCGGATTTAGGGGGGGGGGGGGGGGCCCCCCGGCCCCGGCCCCCCCTTTTGGCGGCGGACTGACCTTTTCCGGGCCGGACCCAAATGGTCTGATCGGCCGGGAATGGTAACATATTAACATTTTAAAATGCATGAAATAATGCACGGAGCTTGTATAAAAAACATCTGGAGCTATGCCCCACACATCACATACGGCATCCTAGCAAATATTGTGAGTTTCCGTTATCTGATATTTTTACTATATTTTCTTTATTAAAACAATATTTGTTGGCATCGCTACGCTCGTCTACTTTGTATTTTGACCCTAAAGTGTTTTATTTTTATTTTACCACCTCCGCAAAACCCCAAGTTGCAACTTGCAACGCTCGGCGGAAATATACTAGCATAAGTTGCATAATTATATTATTGACCGCTCGTTATAGATGATCTGAAAATGAATACTTTTTATTGTAACCTTCCTAACCGCCCGGGCGATATCAATCATATCATTATACAAGAACGATAAAGGGTTTTTTTCGGCTGACAATATTATGTATAATCGACTAAACATATCCATTCAATTATTTTGGTATTATATATATAGTTGGAACTGTTTAACTATCTTGTATGTACAACATAATATCTCATTGTGGTACTTATAGCTTACCATCGTGTACGTACAAGAAAGTATCTTCACACAGCATACTATTGTGGACGTAGTAATAAGTTGTACGTACCAGAATGAGATGATATGCTGTACTTACAAGTATGATAATTTTAAATTAAATTTAAAGGTGACGCGTATGAACAGATAGCTTAGCAAATGTACCACTGCTGGTAATATGCATGCCCTTACATGAGTTAATCAGCGTGGACATTTCAGATATATCATTGTCTACACTAGTGAATTAGTCAACAATTATAAAACGAGAGACTATATAGCTAGTGACCTTGGGTGTCGCACTGATTTGATCTTATCCGTTTGTTTAGCAACTTAGTGATGCCATGAGTAACTCATTAATTAAACAGCAACGATGTTATGGTGTTATTTGTTCTTTTGTACGACAAAATATTACATGAAGCACTTACTGTACTGTAGGTACAATGTCTGAAGACTAGATATTGTGCGTCCCTACATTTATTTTTTGACGGTGGACCTCTCGTATCCCCCTTGCGAGCGGGACGCCAAATAAGGTAATAGTGAACAAGCCCCCTGTGGATTCATACATTTGTCATCACCAGGTTGCCCCTATAATAATTCCATCTGACTTCTAAAACATGCTGTTGATAGAGAATTTGAACCGAAACTTTAATTTTCTTTCCAGTACACAAAAAAAGTCTTTGGGCCATACTTAAAATATGTTTTTTTCTTCTTGTTAATTAAACATAAAAACAATCCTCAGAACACGGGAAATCGTTTCTGAGACGTTCTAGAAAACACATTTTTTTCGGGGGAGATCCCCCAAACCCCCCTCACGGGAAAGGGGAGGCCCCATCCCGTACCCTCCCTCTAATCGCGCCATGCGCTCGGGGTGCTGCCTTCGGTAGCACACCGTTGACTATTGAGAAAAATTTCTCGGCCCCCTCTTTTAGGAAATCCTGGATCCGCCCCTGCCATTTATGATTTTTGTAATGTTCATGATTATTTCTCGCGACTACGTTATCTCGGAGAAGGGGAGATTACTCTTCTCAGAAACGGTACTATGCGTGGTAATCAACTGCCATAGTGTGTTCATGTTCTAGTGGCAGTTTAGTTTAAACCTATTTTATTGACATATGATATGACAATAGGATTAGTCAGTAAGTTTTTTCAACTTATAGATGACTTCTCCAAATAACATACATAACATATTTACANAGAGAGAGTAGGAGAGAGAAAGGGGTGAGGGTGAGGGTATATAGTGGCAATTTATTTTCAGTTGGTAGATTAATGTACAGAACAAACATGAAGAATGTAAATATATTCCTGATAAAGGGCATCCACCTCCTCGGAATCTCAGGGGTTACGTTCACTTACATGCAGAAAACGTAAGTGAGTCCAACCGCTTGAATTTCGAGGTTGGTGATTTACGTGGTCGCCGCGCGCGCCATTCTCGGATGAGTCGCCGCGCGCGCCATTCTCGGATGAGTCGCCGCATACGTTCAAGGATTGATGGCTGCACAACTGATTCTGGAACCACAGGGACCTAAGCATTTGTTACAGCTTTATTTGGATCTAAACTAGCAGGTGTTCCGATTAATTGTACACGTTTAAAGGGATTAACCACTCTTTTCGTAAAAATATTGAGGGTGGCTTTTTCTTACCCGAAAATTGATCTTGGTCCCTAAAGCGTGTAAAAGCACTTTGGACACCTTAATTTAGGTCCAAATATAGCTGTAACAAGTTCTGATGTCCCTGTGGCACAACTACAATCGATTCCATAGATGATGGTCGAGGACAGAAATTCAGATTAAGAAAACACACAAAAAGTAATCCATGTGGCTCAGGTGAATTCTGTTAAAGGAACTGAATACAAAGACTGTATATGTGCTACTTATAAATATTTGTAAGTCTATTTCGGGGGTACAATTGTGTTGCACCTTCTTGGACTGATTGCTAATTTATATTGTACATGTACATGGAAATTAATACAAGTTTGTAAATTGCGACCACCTCATGCTTCAGGTTTATTATTTACCCTCAAAAACACAAACAAACAAACAACAACAATAAAAAATAAAATTATGCAATATTTATTGAAATACGTCTTTGGTATTTTTATTAAAAAGTGGTTAGTTATTGTGGAACATATATATATATTCACTTTTTGCTTTGGACAAAATGAAGTGTTTTCCCAGTCACAACGTTTTTTTCGGTACCTATTTTTAAAAGTATTCATTTATTATATTTTACTGGCTTGTGTTACCGCAATATGATTGGGCACAGGTTAATTACGACAAAATTTCAAATCCCCTTTCCAAAAACATACTTAAGTTTTAACATTTTGCAAAAAAAAGACATGACTTCTACTTTGCATACATATGTAAGTATGATAAATATTGTTCTCAGAAAAGCGATAGAAGGACATTTGATACAGTTCAACTTTTTTCAATTGATTAGTTTGCAGTTTATTTTTTTACATATTATTGTTGTTAGAAGGTTTTCAGCAAAAGTGTGTAACAGAAATAAATGAAAATATTTATTCCATATTTTGTCTAAAATGTAAGGAACGACCACTTTGGGTAGAGACATTTTTTTTTTGTAGGTAGAGATTGAGATATGGGTTATTGCCCCTTGATTTTCCCATTGTTTGGTGGCGCTGTAGCGGAAGTCAGCAGACGATAACAATATGGCGGACGGCGATTCCAAAGATTCCCCAAACGTACTATTTCCCTTTAAACTTGATGATTTAGACTTTAATGTCAACTTTTTAAGAATGGTGAATTGAAACTATATCTTTTTATTCATTTCAGATCCATTCGTCTAACGCAGGGAAGCTCCGAAAACTGTTCTACAGCAAATACAATGGTAAATGTAACTGATCGACGCATTCTATTATTGTATTGTGGGCCGTTTTATATTGAGTGACATGCAAAGTCCTTTTACATATTTTACCAAATTCGATGTATACTATTTTAAGACTCGAATACCCTTGAATTAAAGCATGGCATATGGTAATGACCATTGTGACGTTCAAGACATTTCGGTACCCAGTTTTCAAAATAGGGTGTTTCAACTTTGAAAGACGAAAACTGTTGGGAAAAAAATATAAAATCAGCGAAACAGATAACTCAAAAGGCAAATAAATGCTGGGTTAAAAAGAAAGCCAATTGTCAAAAATATTTTTTAACTGATGTATTGCAACGACCTATTGGAAGTAACGAAACGTAAGACTATGAGTTACTTCTATATATATTTAATAATAATTACTTCTGATCTAAAGTGGAGTACTCATATCGATAACATCACAAAAAAGCCCAATTCCACTCTGGGCTTCCTGAGGCGCAATCTCAAAATTTCATCCTCTAACATCAAGCAAAAGGCCTATGAGTCCATGGTCAGCCCTCAGATTGAATACGCTAGCCCAGTATGTATGGGACCCTTACTTAAAAAAAGATATAGACAAGCTAGAGATGGTACAGCGCAGGGCTGCCTGTTTCGTTGCCAACCGCTATCGTAACACCTCCAGTGTTGGCAACCTGTTAGAACACCTAAAATGACGTAGTCTTGCAGATCGCAGGAAAGACGCGAGGCTGACCATGCATGCTAGAAATCCATCATATTAAAGTTGCCATTACTACTAAGTATCTCACCCCTATAACCAGACAAACGAGGCATAGTCATCAAACCTCATTTCAAATTATCTCATGCAGGACGTCTGTAAGGAAGGAATCCTTCTTTCCTTGGACTATCAAAGATTGGAACAACCTCCCTTCTCAAATTATTTCTTCTGATTCAATATACTGTCCTTCAAATCATCTACCTCAATATTAAGTTCTGTTCCTTTCTTTTCATAGTGTTACACCTATATATGACATATGATCTTCCCTATGCTGAAGTGGGTCATCAAATGGTAGAAGAAGTATTAGGAGAGGAAAACATGCAATAGACCCAGACTTTGATTAATCACAGGGATTTATTACAAATGTCTTATACATGTACATACTGTGCTATACTGATATGGGTCACAGCACACATGTGGAAATCAGTAATATATATGCGTATTAGACATGTGCTGTTACCCATATTAGTATTATGTGTATAAGACATTTGTAACAAACCCCTGTGATTAAACCCTGGGATCTCCAAATGTGAGATGTGTGTTGTGACCCATATCAGTATAGCATACATGTCTTAGACATTTTTAACAAACCCCTGTAATTAAACCATGGGACCTCCAATTGTGAGACAAAGGCTCTAATCAACTGACCTGTTTTGTCACTGCCTCCAGCCATCATCCAGACCAATCACACTTAGAAATGAAATCCAGTGGTGAAAGTATATTGGTCTTTGCCTCACTGTTGGGGCTGCATGTGCTCTCATATATTTCAGTCAGTTTTCGGCATCATATGCTAAGTCCGTGATATTACTCTGTTCCGAAAGTTCCACACTAAGGATTTCTGGTCAAATCTTTTAAAGGTTTTGGGAAGAACAATTTTATAACTGATCAAATGACAGTTTGAAAGTTCAAATATTCAAGGAGAATGTTTTGAACATTTTTGAACAATTCTATGACAGACTGGTTTGAGATGGTAAGATCACATGCAAACACAATACTCACATGTAATGGGCTAATTAAATAGCAACCTGGAATCACCTTCATAAAGTCTTCAAAGTTGAAGATATTTTTTGATGCCAAGAAATTTTGGGTCTGACATGTCATGATTACTTGTTTGCCCAACATATGCTCTAAAACCTCAAACAGTGTTAGAGGTTTAACATGAGATGCTTTTGACAGGTGCCGCGTAACCAGGCGGAAGCTGCATCAAAGAATTAGTGACTCGGAAAGAAGAGGTCGCAGTCGGCAAAATCATATCCGATGGAAAAAGCCCGACCTGAGCGGCCTCTTATTTTATAGGAGTAATGCTATACAGTACTTGGCTTGTATTAGTAAAAAATATATTATTTATTTATTTGTTAGATATTCAAACTATTTTCAATTAAAATGAGATTTCAAACTTGCACACCATATGTTGTTTGAAATTAAAGGGTTAAATAAATTTTTTGGTTGGCCAAACAGATGACAAGCTTAGTAATTAGTCATATCATGTACTTGCAGCCAACATATATATGTATGTTAATTTCTAATTTACTTTAAAAGAAAGGGATCTTTAATTGTGTTATTTTTTATGAAAAATATAAAAAAAAAAAAAAATGTGTACTCTTGTTATTATTTTCAGTACAAGCAGATTACATATAAATACATTTTTTACTTCCTGAAATTTGTTATTGTTTCAGTATTGATAAATCATAAGTCACAAATAGAGAAGTAAAGATGACATTTAGAAGCTTGTAGATTAAAACTTAATGACTTGAAGGTCCCGACCCCATGTAGCCGAGTGTCAGATCCTATTTGCTGCCATATGCATGTTGGACCCAACTTTAAAATGGTCAAATGTTGACAGTGATTGTATGTATACATGCACAGAAGGAAGGCTTTACAACAAAATGAACTTTTCTTCTTCAATTTTAGAATGCCTTAATCATGGATCTTTTACATCTTCAGTAAAGTATTTGTACTGAAAAGTTTATTTATGAAATCACCCATAAACCTCTGCCCTTTCTTATCACAGTATTTCTATTCCTCAACATTCAAATGAAAGGTGTAACTTTATATAATAAAAATAATGAAAAAAATCCACAATGCTAATTCTTTTGTTTTTGTATTGTAGTAGAAGATTTTGTTGGAAAGCAACTTTATGATCAAAGGGATGCTGACAGTGTGGCTTCAAATGATCTATATGTGAGACAGTTCATCAGAACCTATGAAAGCCTAGAAGATGCAGCAAACAGACTCCACGAGACATTAAAATGGAGAAAAGAATTAGGAGTAAATGGTGAGACACAATTATAATTTCTCGACGAAAATTCCCCCCCCCCCCCCCCCCCCNAAATCACATGAGTCAAATCATTATCAATACCAACCAGTGTATCATCTTAAAAAAATATTGCATACTAATTGGTACATTGTTTCTTTAGATATAGATTTGAGATCTTTAAACATCATTATACCACCAAAAAAAGTGTATTTGTTTTTACAACAATTATGAAACTAAGTTTCCAAACTTATATAACCACTTTTGTTGTCCTGGATAAATATGTGTAGGCGAGTGAACTATCCACTAAGCCACACCGCTAACCAAGGTAATGACAGATTTCCCACTCTTCATAATTTTAAACTGGTATTTATTTTGATCAAAATTTATCAGACACGTATCTGGCCATTCATATGCATTTTGTAGCAGGTTGCCTTTCAGTGAGCATATCTTGGTATTATTCTTTTTAAGTGTCCATTCATCCATTTGTTCTTAGTCTGTCAAACAAATTCTTGTCTGCAGCTTCCTGAAGTGTTCAACCAAAATGCAAGTGTTATGAAACTTACCACATGTATTATTGACATCAGTCTGTGGAGATAAGTTGAAGGTCAAGGTCATACTTACATCACAGCTTCAGCATCTTTAAAGGATGATTAGGAAATTGTACATTCAATTTGGTTTGTCTGCAGGTTTTTGACTAAAAAATTTCAAACCTCATCCATATTTTCCTGATGTCAGTCTCTGGGCGACAGTACAAAGTCAGATTCATATATTTCAGGTCTGCAGGTCATAGCTACAAAATGATAGACATGAATTAGATGTTTGACTTGTCTACAGGTTCCAGACTAAAACTTTTCAGCTAAATTTTATGAACCTTCACACATTTATTTCTGGCATCAATCTCTTGGGGATAGTTGATGGTCAAGGTCATATATATGTCCAAGCTGAAATTCATAGCTACAAAATGCTCATACATTTGTAATAATGGAAAGTTCAAAAAAGAATACACCATATTTTTTTTAACTACATGTACATAGATAGTACTGCTTGTTTGCATATATACTTGGGCTGTCACAATAAATCAGAAAAACAGGTATAATCACTATACACAGGTATATCGTACTGTACCACAATACAGAGATGAAATATTGTTGTATCGCAATATTTTTGAAAAGTTTATTTTTATATATCTCATCCTGCTTGGTGTTTTTATAACTTTGCAAATTACTACAAATTCCAACAGATACCAATAATCATAAAACAGGCTTGTGACATGACAGTGGTGGGAATTAGTTCAAATTTTGTTATTGATGGTTGGTCTGACAAAAACACATTCATCTTTTATCACTATTGCTAATATTTAGTAAACGTATTTTACCATACTATCAATCTGACTCATATCCCATCATGATTTTTGTGGGTGTATTATGTACTGTTTGCACGTACTCTAAAAATAGTCTTGTTGTCATATATGATTTTGTCAGCAAATATGAAAGTCACAGCTTTGATATGATCAGAACAGTTGTCAATTGAATCTTTTGTCATTGTTTTAGTGTAATTAATTCCGAAAACAAGTAGATATGTTACAGTGTAACAAGAAAAGAAAGTAGTTAGGAGGCATGGTAGTCTAGTGGTAGGATGACAGGCTTGTGACTGAATGGTTGCTGTGTGGGTTCGAGTCACGGCATGGCACTGTGTTGCATGTTTGAGCAAGATACTTTACTCTGCTTGTTCCAGTCTACTCAGCTGTAAATGAGTATGCTATTGGTCAGTACTAGAATTGAAGAATGCTAGAGCTCTGTGAGCGCAAAATTGCAGCACCGGCTGTATGCTTCCCAGAGAGTTGAAAACGATTCTGGCTGGTTGCAAAGGGCCCTACAACTACAGATAATAATTTGTGAACCGCTTTAAGACGACCTATGAACAAGGTTGTGATAAAGCAGTATATAAGAACCTCAAATTATTATTATTATTATTATAAATCTTTCTTAACAGTTTCCACTAATTTTATTGTGATATATACTGGTATATTTTTAGATTTGTGTGAGACGTCGTTTGAAAGCTGGAGGTATGAGCTAGGAGCAGGGTTTTACCACAACCATGATAAGGACGGCAGGAGACTGTGTAAGTTCCTTAAGCCGTGGGACTGTATAATAAGTTGATTTCTTTATCACTAATTGATATATTGGTAAAATGATTAATTACAAATCGTCAAGTCTCTTTGACTTATCTTTAGTTTCAATTTTATGCCAATATTAGCAATGCTATTATAAACACTGAAACCTTGTTATACATGTCATTGCAATGATTTGATCAGAGAAGGTTTACCAGTAGCTATGCATCAAAATAGATGTATAAAGGAATTAATTGTAAAATTGAGGGGGACAAAATAAAAAGAGGAAAATGATATTGAGGGTTAACTGAAATCAAGCAGTTTATTTCATCCATGTCCTGCTTGTTTAGTAAAAGTTTCAATCAATCTATCATGTTTTTCTTTTTCTTCCAAGTCTGCAAAATTGATACAATGTATAAACAAAATATACTTTTATCAACACCACAGCTATACTCTCAATAAAACGGCTTCTTAGCGAACTTTAGGTGAAACGTTGAACAGAGTTATATGCATTGTATTATGATTATTATTTAGTATCTACTGTACCTGGTCATGGATGTTGTTTCTGAACAGACGTGGAAGACATGCTTGGTATATTACAATTAATGATTTTTATTTTTTTTCCAGTTTTTGTCAAAGTAAAACTACATAAAAAAGATGCAGCAGATTTTCCAATGGTGAAGAAGTTTTTAGCGTATCATTTTGAGACTATTTATAAGGAAGAGCCAACAAAAGAAATTGTGGTTGTGTTTGATATGTCACAGGCAGGCTTGTCAAACCTGGTAAGTTACTTGTTGCCAGAGCATCCAATCATAGTCAGGGCTCACATTAAGGAAACATTTTGTGTCGCCAATTGGTTTCGCTATGAAAAGTGTGTGTCGCCAAACTGAGATTTCATGTCACCAATTTTTGACATCAAGTTATTCTGTGTAACCATGCCTCATTAGTATTGTGTCATTATTTGGGGCCGCTGTGGCCAAGTGGTTAAGGTGTCTGACATTCTGCTACCACTAGCCCTCCACCACTGGGTCGTAGGTTCGAGGCCTACGTGGGGCAGTCGCCAGGTACTGGCCTTAGGTCAGTGTTTTTTAGCCCACCATCATCTGATCTACGTAAATGATGCTTGTAATCCATTCATTATAAAAGAAAGCCCATGTCTTTTGATGTAGAAGTAGTAAACTCAATTATCATCATCAATTGGCCATGGTTTACTACTTGCGATTAAAAAGTGATAATTGATTATGATTTTAAAATTGATTGCCCGTCACTAGTCCTGGGTTCAAAACCCAGTCTGGCCATTTCAATCTGTGTATTTAAGGTCTTTTGAATATTTCAGTAAAATTTCCAATACATGATTTAATAAGGGTGTGTTTTCCTATGTATATGAGAATCTGTATTTGCTACGTACCAATTTAAAAAATAACAATAGGAAAGTAGTGGTGCCCACATTCTTGATTCAGTGGCCTTGGGCCATAATGGATAAGATTGGTTTATTTTCAGCAGAAATAAAGTCTAGATCTAAAGCTAAGAAAGGGGCAAAAAATGGTATTTTGTTTGATTTATTATAGAAAAATGATTTTACCATCAGGATCATCTGACTTTTGTACTGGTGTTAGTGGTATACCATTTGTACATCAGTGTGTACATGATTATATACAGTCATGTGTTAATAAAAATTGTGTTTAATTACCTCCTACATCTGGATGTGGAGCTGCTTGTTTTTAAAGTTGTCAGTAGAGCTACATGTGACCGTATTGGTTGGTAGGCTGTTCCATATTCTTTCCTTATTAGGAATTAATGATTGTATAATGAACATGTTGTAGTACATGACACCAGAAACTTCTCTGTCCAAGTCCCTGTATATATATACCAATGCTAGTGATGAAGGTTTAATTGTAAGGTATGTCCACCAGGTGATACAAATAACCCAAATTTAATGTATTTATTCTGTTTTTCCTGGACAGTGCATTCTTTTCTTAAGGAGCAATTTAACTTATTGGAACTGTGTATGTGCTTAATTTATGATATTTTGATTATTTAATTCAATAACAAGTTCTTTATTTTTTTGCAGGACATGGATTTGATCAAGTTTGTCATTACATGCTTCAAAATATATTACCCAACTCTCCTTGGTAAGTAAGAAATACCATCCCATATGTGGTCCACATATATATTATCTGCCTCTCCTGTAGGTAATTGTGATATTTACATCAAATGTATTATGGTTGATATAGAAACCTTGTTTTTGAATAGGATTTTTTTTTCAATAATGAATATGGCTGAACCAAAAGAGATTAATTAATATTCAGAAATTGATAAAGTACAAAAGGAAAAAGGAAAATAATACATGAATTTCAGTTTGGTATTTGGTTTCATTTATTAATGACAATTAAAAATTAATAATAACATTTTGTTGTTTTTCAGGATACATGCTGATATATGAAATGCCATGGTTATTCAATGGTAAAATATATACTTTGCTCTATAGGTTTCAAACTTTCTTTGACCAGCTCCACACACTTTCTCTTCTATTATCAAATGTTGAATAACACTTTTAAGCTAATTACAACACTTCAAAATATTGAAATTCAAACTGTCTGATAAAGTATTCCTGTAAAAATCCTGTTGAAATGATATCAGATCTTTTTGAAATGAGCAAGTAATGAATGGTTGCTTGAATTTAAGCTCTCATTTATTATTTTTGATGCATACTAATTTACTCTTTTATATCATTTCAGCGGCTTGGAAAATCATCAAGGCCTGGTTAAGTCCACACGCAATAGCGAAAATCAAATTTGTGACCAAAAGTGATATTCAAGAGTACATCAATAAAGACCAACTCCTAGAGCACATGGGAGGCACAGTGAGTTTGTTAATCCCTTACATAAATAACATTGATCTATTCCTCCCTTCTACCATCTGTCTTAACCTAATTGTACCATAAACCATGTGTAGATGCCTAGATGGGTATATATGTTGGATGGAGGGAGGGGGTGGGGCAGTGGAAAGTTTGTTAAACCTTTACCTTAACAGTCCATCTTCCCTTTTAAAAAAATAAAAAAGCTTACTTTGGAGACAGTGTCAGTTTGTTTTAAATAATTACGGAATTATCAACAGATTACTTTTGAGACAAAGTACGTTTGTTATGAATATTTGCTGTACTGTCAATAGATTACTTTGGAGACAGTGTGAGTTTGTTCTAAATACATAACAGAATTGTCGATAGATTACTTTTGAGACAAAGTGACCAGTCTGTGACGTTAACTATTTCCCTTACTAGTCATTTGGACTAGTGAACCCATAATTTTAATAGTCCAACTGTGAATTTTCTAGTCCAAATTACAGACTGGTCTTTTTTACAGCATGAAGTGTAAATTGTGATCTAAATTGGAAAATTATTAGAAATCGAAACAAAATGTCTCGCAATAATTAACTAAAGAAACGGAGCACGGAATGTGATCGCCAATTATCTTTCATACAGTATTACTGTTGTTTCCATCGAGCCTTTAAGCACTAGCCAGAACCGTAAATTTTTCTTTCGTGTTGGAGCATTTTTTTCTGTCTGTTCACGGACAGGCTTAGCTGGTTTTGAACCTTTCCCCCAACTTAGCAACAGCGCCATAGTTGGTTTCACGTGGTTATAAACCGGAAGTAATGTTTGTTAACTACTAAAATCCGGAACCCAGTCTAGCAAATTGCTCATCGAATCTTTGAAGCTTCGACGAATACTGTATTTTACGATAGGATTAGATATTGTGACAAGCTTTATAGTGCAAAATATATACCATTAATAATGTTTCCATTATTTTGGAGGAAAATTACCACTAGTCCAGTCAGACTAGTTAAATATTTTCAATACTAGTCCAGACTTAAATTTACTAGTCGTGGGCATCGGACTAGCTAGTGCCTTAACGTCGCAGACTGGTGTGAGAGTGTTAAACTTCACTTCAATGAATTGTTTGAAGGTTTGTTATTTGTTTACAGAAGCTATTTATTGCAACACACAATTAAAATTATCAAGCACCATCAGTGGGAACAAATGTCATTAGTTTTATATGCAATGTGCATATCAGCATACAAATGTTTCCTGAAAATCAGTCTGAATCAATAGACATTTTGTTCATCTGAAAACCAGCCTTATTATTTTCAAAAGTTCTACATACATGTACTGTATATACTTGACGAATTGTTTGGGTTAAGATCTTAGATCATGCAGTAGTTGTTTTTGTAATTTTCTCTAAATATCATTTTTAATGCATAAGAATCTGTACAAATTGCCTATAATTATTCATCGCAAATTGTTTCCTTTCTAGGACAAGTTTGTGTATAAATATGTCCCATCAGAGGAAAGAGAAGAGGAGGAAAACAAATTAAAGAAAAGGGTGAGTTGATCTATCCTTTATATTGTCATGTTTATATCGTCACCACTAGATGATTTGTTGTATACATTTTAAGTCACATGATATGGATCTATATCAACATTACACATAGAATCTAATGAGCACTGTACTATCAATTAAATGTTTTACCAATTAATGGCTTCTTGAAATTTCATTATAATATTGCTTTTCTAGGCAGTTACTGCTGAATGTTTAACTATATATGTATTGAATATATTATTTAACTCGTTCACCTCTGACATTTTATACAGTTGTGTTCAACCTTGAATTGGAAGATTAAAATGTGTCTTCAGGGGTGAATGACTTAAATACAAAGAGCATTGAATAGTGACTAGATAATGTGTCGCACACAACGCTCAGATCAGTAAACATAATGCAATGTAGACACCAAGGGGTGTAATTATATTTTTAGTCCCTTATCAATACTATCAGAGGGGACTACATGTTTGAACTCCATCAGCTAGTCCATCAATACGCTTAGTTTGCACATGAATTTGTCCATGGCATGTCTTATATTCTCATTTTCCTACAATTGCCAAATTTTGTATGTGTGTGCCTCTTGTGATAGTGGTGTGTATTACATAATTGAATTGGGTCTCACGCTCCACTATTTTTCAGAGTTATAGACCTTTTTTTCACAGTTTCACTTTGTCCACCACATTTATTTTAACTACTTCAGAATTTCTACATAATCATCTAGTATAAAATGTAATATAAATGATAAAGTTTTGAAACCAAGACAGTGTCACTTTTTCAGGCATATATTTTTTTTTTTTCTTTCATATTTTCAATGTCTTTATGTAAAATAACGGAAGACATTTTGAAATCCTGACAATATATATACATGGTATATCGATGAGCACTGTTTTGCATATTAATTTAGGAATTATCATTAAGATGTGCACTAATTAATTTCCTAGTACACTCGCTAGTCTACATGTAGATTACATCTTTTTTTCAAATTTTTGTTGATATTTAGCTGTACATATATAGATTGATATGAACTGTTTGATAGATCCCCCAACCACAACCCAAGGTAAGCATGTGACCACACACACCTAAGACTGATGTTCCTTAAAATATTAATTGCACTACACTGCCATTTGAAATTTACATTTTAAATTTAACCATGCACAAGATTGAATAACAGTTTGGACTGTGTGGAGAACAGTTTGGACTGTGTGGAGTGGAATTAACTAAGAAATATATTTAACTCTTTTGTCTATCTGATAATACACCAGTAAGGATACATAAAGAAAAAAATATATCTTGAACTCATATGAAATTCTGATATTTGGAAGAATAATTAAAGCACTAAAGTTGATACTATTCCACATCTGCGTTCAGAAATACATCTCTATTGATTGTTCACTTTTGGCACACTCCTGTAACTCAATTACACAAAATACCCTGCACATCACATGACATACATAAAGGCAATCCAGGGACATACAATGATAAATGACAGTTTTTGGAAGGTCACTTTATTTTATGTGTAGATTAATAATTACCTGGTACTTTGTCTGCAAGATTTATGTTCTATATTTCTCCCATAACCACTGTAGGTTTCCTCACTCATTACTCCTTGGATAAACCTGCTAGGAGTTGGTAAACATTTTTGGTTACCCACTAGAGGGTAACACCCTGGACATGATTCTAATGGTCAAACTTTGATTTATGATGCCAAGTTACAATGCTTTTCGATGTCATTTTCCATTGTGACGTCATGTTCCACAGCAATTGTTTCCCCCATCGGAAAACCACATGGAGTATGTTCCAAGGGGAAAATGTTGGTTTTCAGACAATGTACGAACGTTATAGGAGCAACAGGCCTCCAAACTCGTGATGATTAGTTATCACGCTTGTCTAACTCTCCTTAGTAAATTTTCAAATTGTAAAAGACACTCAGTAAACCTTGTGTCTTTATAAAATTTGAAGATTAACTAACATGAGTTAGATAAACATGAAAACCAACCATCAATCGTTGGGGAACATCTATATCTCCTTGAAATGGGTAAGAGAGCATATAAATAGAGCCTCTAATTCTTAACAACATGCTTTTATAAGGGCCTCTTATAATCATTCTGCAGACTGTTCATATATATATGTCAGTCCATTTGTCCAGTTTTCATTTCCGCATGATAACTTTCATAGCTACTTTCTAATTTTGATGAAAATTTGGGAGCACATTAAATGGGTAAGGATTAAATTTGGTAGGCATGTAAAAGGAGGAAGGATTTGGGGAAAGAGTGAAATTTTAGCAAAATTTGTGCATAATGAATTTGCATAATACGCTCTGGTTGATGATTTTATCACAATAATATAATCAAATATGACTAGATTCTCATGAAATTCGTTCAGCATTCCCACTTAATAAAGGGGATGGCTAAATTTGAATTTGAATTAAATCCCACTGTAATTAAAGTATCAAACAGTAATTTCATTGGTCAATTGGATGACAATTGATTCATTTCCATAGGATGTGATCAATTAGGTATAGCAATGAAAGGGAAGTAATCACATAAAAAGTATGGCTGATTTCTTGTTAAACATGGTCAACATTCATATGACATATAAATCATATAAAGTACAAAATCTAGACAAAGTAATATATACTTATTATTCCCAAAATAGTTTAATACAGTATTTTGGATCACTTTCTTAGGAATTTGGTTGAAATAATAAGATAATGTTATTGTAAAGTTTGAGATTAAAGTTTGAGATTTATGATTAGGCAGTGCTATAAATGAATTTGAGTACTTTACCTCTAAAATATTTTATTTTCTATCTGTCGACAACTTGGTAATACGGTAAAAAACTAGAGTAACATTTTAATTGGAATACAGAAATTAAAGGCTATAGAATTGACAGAAGTCCACTGTACTCAGGTATTCTTATATATTTGAAACATTCAATCATTAACAATCTAATTTTAATTGACATATATCAACATAAATATTGGTGAAAAGCTTTTTCTTTTTTTTTGTTCTAAGGGTTACAGGGTGTCTGAAATTTAATAAACAAAGAAGCCTAGGCCTGTCAGCATTACTTGGATTGCCTGTAATTAAGATATACACAAGTACACAAACACCATTTCTTTCTGCATAAATTGACTTTTTGACTATTTAATAAAGTACAAATAAATATCAAAACATCAAAGAAGTGGAAATGTTTAGTCTAAAAAAATCAAAGTGTTTTGTTTTTCATCTTTTAGCTAACATAGTTACAAGATTTCAGCTTTCTTTCACTGCGTGCATTGCTTTGACATGGACATTTAACTTTATTTTAACTTATTTTTGTGTTTTCATTTTATTTTATGCAAAAATTAAAGAAAACATCAGAAATTAATTTTCTTACTGTGTGATATAAAAAAGATTATGTTTTACCATGATTGAAAGAATTGTGCTTATGTGGAATAAAAGAAAACTTCCTTCTCCATGTTTTTTTCAATAAAAATTGATTTTGGCAAATTGAAAATTAATAAACATAATAATTTTCAGTGTGTCTGGAATTAGTTATCTCCCTTGGGTTTGTATGAGTTGCCATAGCAGCAAGCAATCTGATCAAAGTGACTGTGGTATTGAGGATGTATAGTGTTGGTGTGTTAAAATTATTGTGAATCATTTATTCAAATATTTTCTTAGTGACCAACATTAGTTGTTTTCTACTGTGTGTCTTTTCCAATGAAAACCCCCATTGATGTGCTATCTTTATCAAATTATGTGAAGACCTTCCTTAAAACTCAAGATAAAACAAATATAAACAGTACAGGTCATTAGTGTGTTTCCTTGTGAGACAGTGAGTGCCATCAGAAAGTCATCAGAGTTATAGCCCTTTGAGACAATTACATTATTATCTCCCCCTTATCATTGTCTCTTGTTGATGCCTGGAAACAAGATGGCTGATGCTGAGGAGGTAATGATAATTTCTAGGGTTGATTTTTTTGCTGTCTATACCTATATGCAAGTGTTTCACAACCTTTATTTGCTAACATGTACAGATCAAAAGGCTGTGCTGCATTTGTAATATGTATTTAATATTCAAAATTGCATTTAATTGCTCATAAGTTATTATGTTATATATATGAACATGTTTTGTTATCAATAATTTTGCTTAAATTTAATTTACATGACTATTGTAGGATTTTGATTGATCTTCGCCTTTTTTTTTAAATCATTCACATCAGGTTACTAATGTTAAGCATATCCTACAAATAGAAAGATCAAGTTACATTGTACAGACAGACAAAGGCCCTATGAATGATTAAGCTGACATTGATTTTGTTGTATCAGTTGTCCTTTGGGGATTCTCATGGCTGGAGATGAGTCGTGCCTCGGCAATTTCACTAGCTCACATTCTATTGATTATTTAGGTAGTACATATTGGCTGAATTGCACATGTGCACAAAGAAATGTACGTTGAAAGTTATTTTTAACTGCTGTTCTTATTTCCTCATCTAAATTCTTGAACATGTATACAAGCTATTGAAATATTTAACGTGTCAATCTTTCAATGATTTGTTATCCCTGCCTTGCTGGATAGAATATTGATCAGGTTTTTTATGATCCTGTGTAATCTTTGTAATGCTCAAGGATGTAAATCCCTCAGGTAGAGGACATGCATGCACTCACCTTCCACAATGACCAGTACTCACAATGATGGAGGTTATACACAAATGTATTTTAATTAAATGTCTTATTATAGATTATTGTTAATATGTTATTAAAATAAAGTTGGTGGATATGTGCATACTAGGATCTTTATATACATATATGTGATTAAATATGTGCATGCTAGGATTATTTAAATTTAAACCAATTAAATATTGAAGTGGTGTATTTATTGTTACAGGTGACATTTGCTGAGTCTGCTAAAACTGCAGATGGGGATGGGTCTCCAGATTCATTTCAATCACCGATGGGCAAAAGTGTAAGTAATAAGTACATAGATACATACATATACTCCCAATTCAGACTCCTTATTTCATTGAGAAACTCCTGATTTGCCATCCTCATATCTTAATTTGTGAAATGATAAAATTATCAAACTCCCTTCATCTTCAAATTTTCTCAAAATCAATTAATTCATTGCATCTAGAGCAGTTTATTCTATGAACATGAATTTTTTAGGCAACCATCTTGTAAAATAAGGGTCATTGTAAGTACTTTGTAGACGTTTCTGATTTTGACCCCTGCAGTTTCTCATTACCGTCCAAAAAACCCCTGAAATGTTGACCTGCATGTGTATACTTAGCCAGCTGGCAGCAGAGACACTTTATAGTCCTGGCAAATCAAGCAAGGTATCTGATTAAGATCTCGGCAAAAACATCAATAGCTGTGTTTAAGGAAACAAATAGCAAAATATCATATATAGAACTTATTGGCTGAAATGAGATAGAAAAAAAAAGACTAAAATTTCCTGTTCAAATTATGAGAAATGCTTTGTGAAGATTTGTACATGTATATATCTGTTCATCTTAATAATTGTCATACAAGATTGTTCAGAACGATCAGTATATTTTGTATGGTTAATATATCAAGAAACTATAGAGAATATGCACTCCTGTGTTTAGTAAATACATGTACTAGTATGACTGAAGTGCATACATTATATTTTGATAGCCAGATAAAGCGGAGTATCAATTTCCTTCACAATATACCAGGAAAAGATATTGCAATATGGCTATATTATCATCTTTTGCTGGTGCATGTCATCATTTTAGGAAGGAATTTACTACATTTCAGTGATTTGAATAATGCTTTTGATTTTATGTATGCCCAAATTACATGAATTTACGGATATGTGACGGTGCATGTGTATTTCATTGAAAAATATTGGGAAATTTGGGATTTAAATAGATTGATTGATATAATAACCCGGAAACAAAGAAGGATTTAATATTAGATGAAGTATCAAAGCACTTATGCAAATACAGATAGGATTATATTCAGTGTTATAGTTACAGTGCAAAGTACACTTATAATAAGTTGCATTTAGATACATGAAATGCAATTTCTATTGTAGAAATTTAATGTTAAACTAATTATATAAATGCCTGTCTGAATGCCATCTCCTGCTTCACTTAAGTTAAAATGTCACACCTAAAATTCTGGAAATTAATTATATAAAAAGATACAGTACACATTATTATCATGATTTTCTTATTATGAATTATAAATGGTTGAATAAAATGCAAAAGAGGTTATCTCATTGTGTCAAAATCGCCTCCTGCTAATTAAAAAAAAACATTGTATCTGGGCCATGCAGTTTATGTTTATGTACACAAGTGAAGGGTAATTTTTCAAAAATGATCAAGTATTTACGTTAACCGTCCATACATACTTAAACTGTCATGGATTACCGTATATTGTTATCACTAGGTGTACAAAATGTGGTGCTTTATATCTAACTAATGGGACCTATATTGTAGAAAGTTACTGGAAAGCAATGTTTAATATTTTTTAGGTTGAAAAATGCTAAGAAGCTTTAATATAAATCCAGTTTCCTGTAACTTAAATTAGGGGGTAAAAATGAGTGTACAAGCAACTGTGGACTGTCTAGTGTCTATTTGCCTGTACTTTGCATTAAGGTTTGTGTTTATCTCTGGTTTTCAGGGTCCGGGCATGAGGAAGGTCGGCATTCGTGGTACCACTGGCAAGATGGAACCAGGTGTTGATAACTCCTTCATCGGCAGACTGCTCACCATTAGGTAAAGTAATATTCATTATTGCTATATATATATATTAAAGGAGAAGTGTTAAGAATTATATACAAACAGACCTAGGATTTTCGTCTCGCCGCCACAAAGTGGGAGAGAGACTTAGGTGTTGCTTTTCCGGCGACAGTGTCAACACTAAGTTTTTGCGTTTAAGTTACAATGTAGTTTCACTGAAAGTATAAGTGCTAAACAAACCAAATTTGGACCATAGATGCATCTTAGGTAGTACATCTCAACCCATGCAACAAATTCTGGATGCGGCCTACCTTTCATGGTCCATTGAATTTGTCAGCATCTCCATCAAGTTTTTGTATTTAAGTTAGTTTCTCTGATATGTGCATTGATGGGCATATGAGAGACATATTATTCCGAAAGGCTTGTGTTCAGTCGGATGTAGATATCTGTGCCTGTTATGTTATAGCTGATTTATCATGAAAAAATTGAAACAATTACAAAGATTACAAAAAGTTTTAAAACCATCTAGGATTTTTTAATTTGGGATGTCAGATTATTTATTGCATTTTTAGTTGCATCTTTGTTTTTCAAGGAACTTCTTTACTTTCTTAACCACAGCTTTTGTGAAAAGTTTATGTATTTGAATTTCAAACTGTAGCTGTTAAAAAAGTGACAAAGAGTTCTCTCCCTTTAGTCAGTTTATATTTGTTTGATTGTATATATATATGTGTGTCATGTTTTTCAGCCCTGCTGAAGAGTTGGAATTTAGCACTGATGAAAGTGGAAAAGAAACATTTGATACCATATGCTTGAAGAATACATTGCCATACCCAATCGCATATAAAGTAAGTAAAACTATGCCCTTTTTCTCAAATAATTTAGAAGTATTAACAAAATTACTGAACAATGATGTTTAAGGGTTTTCACAACCTACTTGGTTGTTGCAAATCTGTTCCTGATAGATGCAAAGTTACTTTGTTATATGACTAAAAAATGATTTTATTTTCAAATGTTTAGGTGAAGACAACATCTCCAGAAAAGTATAAAGTGCGACCATCATTTGGTGTTGCCAAGCCTGGAAGTACTGTTGAGGTGTTTGTGTACTTACAACAAGGTGAGAAGCTTGAGATCTGCTATATCTGTCATATTCTGTTACCTTTAAATCAATGATAAATATCAAGGCTAACCAATGCAGTTACCTCCCAGCATTTAACCAAGAGAACACTTTGAGATGAATAGAATATTAAAAAATACCATTATATGAGTTGACATATATACAGCCATTTAAGAAAAAACGGTCACATGTAAAAAAAACGTTGAATAGCATTATAAGTTCAAAATACACGTTACTAGATTACAAGATTACGACTGGTAAAAAAAATCTTAGAATATACCTTAATATGGTACTGCTTTCTTGCTAATAGTCAATGTGCAGTGAAAAATATCTTTTTATTGTGAAGAGAAAATGTAATGGTTTTTACGTGGTTTTATGTTCCAGGTTACCACAACACCATATCCAAGGATAAGTTTCTAGTCATGGCTATGGAGGTCACCACAGAGTCACAGGATAAGCTGGCCGAGTTGTGGAAGACGATACCAAAGGAAAATATAATGGAGCACAAGTAAGCTACACTGCTCAGACAAGTTCGCATTTCAGAAGTTTACGTGCATTTTTGGTGGAGTTTTGCCCCTTTTATTTCCAAATAAGGGCAATGTGTAGTAAATTCAAGAACTTTCTTATTTTTTAATCAATTCCTTTCAAATTTTGTACCGTAATGCTAGAAGCAATATTGTTCAACATATATTACGTTTTTTTCTGTCGAGTTTCAATTTTCCGCGTTTTGGAAATCTGAGATATCTGTTAACACGATAACTCAAGCCAAAACACTTTTATTACCGGTACCAAAAGCTCTAAACATTAGTTAAAATGCCATGAAAATGCTGGAATTGAGATAAGTATTTGAAAAGTTAGGTAAATTCTGGAAAAGTGTCCAATATTGCTAGAAAAGTGCTGAAATATGTAAATTTGCCAGGGTTGTGTAACTCAACTAGCTCAACGCTGGGAGTAAACGAGCAGATTGCATGTACACCAGGCATTGCTTCTTGTTGGCATGCAGGACTAAAATGAGCAACAGATCTAGAGACCAACTGCTATGGGATTTAGAATGATTACGGTATATTTTTTTACCCTATCAATATGCTGCTAGACTTATTCATCTCAGCAATGTTTACAACAAACCCCACATGTCAAGATTAAAGCATGTATTTGAAGATGAATTAATATTTGCCTTCTACAGATTAAGGTATAGAATTCGGTAGAAAACATTAAAAACAAAAAGATAATAGTGAGAAGAGTAAACATGACGTGGGACCTCAGCGTCCCTGATGTACATTACTGGGAGATCCAGGTTGTACGGCTTCTGAAGCAATCATTTGTTGATCATAAATCTATTTGCTCGAGACATTCTATTATTACGCTGTGATGGCTGTATAATTTAATACTGAGGCTGCATTCATTGACTGTATTTGCCTTACAACCAAATGTGGTTTACTGACTTCAACAGTAACTAAGTAAGGTTGAGTCAAAATTGTTTATCGACTTTAACAGTATCATAAAACTGATTGCTGAATAATATAAAAAAAAGTGAGGCTTACTAAAATTACTTTGAGGCGAATATTCTACTCCCCTCTCTTATAGCTGTTTTGTGAATAGGACTGGTCTAATTCCTGCAATGAAAATACTAACTGACATGCGATACTGTAAAACTATATGTAAACTAAACAATAAAATAATATGTGAACTAAACAGTAAACCATATGAGGACTCCATAATAAAATCATAAGTGAATTAAACAACGAAATCTAATATGAACATAACAATAAATCATATATGAGGTGAACAGCAGAGTCTCATGTGAATAAACAAATAAACAGTGAAATCTTACCTAAGTACATGAACAGTAAAGCTTGAAAATACAATGTTATTTTGAACTAAATGCTTTCCTCCCTATATAGCTAGTTGGCAGTCAATATAATCATTTTGGTCACTCTTAAATTAAAAGTGTTTTAACCTGTTATTGAGCTAGTTCCGATGACCTTAAATTATTTTGTGATATAATTTAAAGCGATCCACAATAATTGTAACAACACACAATTATTATTAACTGGTGTGTGCAGAGTGTTGATGTCTGAAACTTTATATTTGATTGGTTTGAAGGTTGAGGTGTGTACAGTCGAGCAAACCCTCGCAGGGACAAGGTGCTGGCGTGGATTCCAGCCAAGAAGAAAATGTACAAACGCTTGCACAAAAGGTATGTATTCAATATAAAATCCAAGACCTGGTTCTTCTGACAATGTTTGTTAATATGAGCCACCAGGTACTTACTGATATAATGGGTTAAGAGTGAATGTTTTTCCAGCAGTTTGTATCTGTTCAGCATTTTTAGGTCACCTGAGCTTTAGCTCAAGTGACCTATTGCCATCCGTTTTCGTCCGTCGTCGTCCGTCGTCCGTCGTCCGTTAACATTTTACATTTCAAACTTAAAGTCAAGTTCTGCTGGGCCGATTGAACTGAAAGTTGGTAGGAATGATCGCCTCATGGTCCTGACAAAGTGTTGTTATTTTTCGGGTCGATCAGAAATCCAATATGGCCGCCACGGCCGCCATTTTGAAAACCTATTTCAAACTTAAAGTCAAGTTCTGCTGGACCGATTGAACTGAAAGTTGGTAGGAATGATCGCCTCATGGTCCTGACAAAGTGTTGTTATTTTTCGGGTCGATCAGAAATCCAATATGGCCGCCACGGCCGCCATTTTGAAAACCTATTTCAAACTTAAAGTCAAGTTCTGCTGGACCGATTGAACTGAAAGTTGGTAGGAATGATCGCCTCATGGTCCTGACAAAGTGTTGTTATTTTTCGGGTCAATCAGAAATACAATTTGGCTGCCATGGCCGCTATTTTGCTACTAAGTTCTAATAGGCCGATCTCACTTAAAATTGGTCTAGGAATGATCAGCTCATGGTCCTGACAAAGTTAAGTTAACATTATACTATTTTTTACTCAAATTGGTACATATTTCAACAACAAAAATAAATACTGTTAACTCAGGTGACCGTTTAGGCCCATGGGCCTCTTGTGTAAATCTTGCATAGAAAGTTAAGTGCTTGGGGAACATTTGTTCAGCAGCTTGTATATCTTGATAAGATTTTTTGAAGTCGTTGGGCATTTAAAAAAAAATAATAATAGTAAGTTAAAGAGGGAACTTTTGTTCAGTACCTTGTACATCTGGTATTGTACGTTTAGAGAGAAAACCAGCATCTTGTTCACCTGGTGTAGTGAGTTAAGAAGGAACATTTGTTCAGCAACTTATTTATCTGGTGTAGTGAGAACATTGTTAAGGAAGGACTTTTTATTACAGGTCGATAGCCTAATGGAAAGTACTAGGCAGACTCAGAGGATGTTAAAGGCCCTGGGGGCACTACAGCTTATGATTATGTTTTTGTTGCTTGTCGGACTCTTCCTCCACTACCAATTCACACCTGCCGAAAGTGCCAACTACACTTCCTGTCCAGGCTCCATGTGGTGATGCTCTCTCTTACTCAAATCAAACTGGTGCTTTCTACAACTGTATAACAAGTTCTTTTAAGTTGTATGAATATTTTTTAAATGAAATATTGGTGACATTAATGTCAACACATTAAAACGTTACGAAATGTAGAACACAGTTTTCTTTTTAATATATGTAGTTTATTACATTGAAATCTTATACAATACAATCAAATGGTGCAAATGACTTTCCTTCAAATCTTTTGATTGGTGATTGATTTATTTTTTGGTAAATTTCAAGGTTAATTCTTTTACAAGTATTGTGACATGTGTACTATTCATTCATATTTCTTTTTTGATATCTGTCAACTGTGTAGACCTCAAGAACTAGGATGTGTTTGAATTTTTACTTTGATTAATAATATTTTATAATATATGTAGACCTCAGAACTAAAATGTGTTTTAATTGTTTCTGTGAACAAACCTGCAATACAAAATAAGATACTTGTGTTCAATTTTGATAGGAAGATGTAGCATTGATTGTGTATCTCTTATGAGGTAAACAGTGGCACCTTTGTTTCCCCCAAATACACTAGACAGTAATAACTATTCTGGTGTTATGAGAGAGCAATATCAATAAGATCCAATTGAATTATTAAGTGCCCACATGTACATATTCCTACCATTATAATACAAATGTGAAACTTAAATGTTTGATTGCTGTTGAGATTATTGAGATATAATTGTTTATGTTATACCGGTACATAATATAATGTATTTATTATAATTGCTTTTTGTCCTGTCGTTGTGTATTGTCCATCTGTACCTGAATTGATTTTAGTAACATTTTGCAGAAGGCTCCCCCAACCAAAGACATATTGAAATTGTGAATTAAATGGGTCTTTCCTCTAAGAGTATGAGGCACAGCTACCGAGGGCCAAAGGGTCATACTGGCTAGATTTTCAACAATCTTCTTTTAATCTTCTTATAGTTAATGATAAGACTTTATTAAAGGTGTTTTATTTAAATGTGAATTTCATAACCCCTTATTTGTAAAGGGGAATAACACTTTAGGAATGTTTTTTTTAATTTTCAATGAGAAATGATATAAACTTTTTTGGATTGACAATCATTGAATGTTAGTTTTTATGGTATGAAAATTAAGACCTTGACTTCCGCTCCAGGCTGAGCTCAGGCTTGTCAAAATTTGAAAGAAAAGTTGTTAAAATCAAAATAAGAAAAGTCTTTTTCTGACCGAGATATACCAGGATCAAATACTTTTCATGGATGGAGAGTTACAAAGGTACTTTATCCGAATTGTGAATTTCATTACCCTAGATCATTGTTTATTTTCGACTGAAAATAATTCAAATTTGGTTAGGTTATAATCATTTGATGGCAGTGTGATGATACTAAAATTAATACTTGAACAAAAAGGAGAAGAAATACAAGGTTGAAATCAAAAACCAATTATTTCTGAAAGATCATAAGATGTTGGACATGTTATAATACAATAATTAGCATTTTCTAACTGATTTATTGGAGGTTTGAAGTCTTACTGTATAATAAGCTTATTGTTTTCTGACAGCTACTGTCTATATACATAGGTTGGTCCCCTCTTTATTGTCATTGTGTCGACTAACCAGTTAAAAATCCATGTTCGCTTTATTTCTGCTCTTTTGCTTATAACATGTCTCAGCAACACATGAAGTTGAGTTATTACTCGGGCGACCATTGAGGCCCAAGGTTCTAGGGTTATATTATTATTACCATGTTATCCAATGTGTCTGCATTCCTAAGAAGCATGAAATTTGTGTATTTCCTTATACACTAGGGTATACTGGTTATCAAGAAATACTGATCCTCTGGTGACATCATTTGTAAAAGAGATATTTAACACTTGATTCTATAGTTAAAATTAATAAAAAAAAAATGATATTAAGATGTTATGGAACGAAGGTGAAAAGCTAGAAAATATTTCACTTTTAAAGGTATCCTGATTGTCAAGAAACACGGATCCTGTGATTAACTCATTCACCCCTACATGTTTAAACTAGACTTGCCCAGTCTTTGATTTGGTAAGTTTCGAAAGTGAATTTAGGGGTGAATGGGTTAATACATTTCTGAATGATTCTATATAATGAAAAACAATGAAAAAGGTTAAGTAAAGATGAAGATGAAAGCAAAATTAGGAGAGGTAATTTATAAACCAATATTTCCTGAATGTATGATTTGTTGATACACATGTCCTAAAAATGTGTGTGAGAGTGTTCGGAGGATTGAAAAGGTATGTATTTATTAGAATGTTTCTGCACCAAGTAAAAAGTTGACAAGAAATTTAATTTCAAAATGGTTGTTAAATTTATGTCGAGGGTGTGGTAGTTGCATATCTTTTCATCTTGTTATGCTTTATATATCACCATGACAACTGGTTTTGTCATGACGACAGTTTAAATGTTTTATGTAGTAAGTCACATGTAATTGCTGATTTTCATCGAAATCAGATGTAGGTCGTGCAGTTAATTAATTCTGCCGGCAGAAGTCAGTGTAGATGTTTACATATTGTGAATGTTAAAGGCTAAATCTGTGATATTGATATAAACAAATAAATATATATTCCAAATCAGGTTATTCTGTAATAATGTTAGATTTTTTAATGAGTTGTGAGAATTTACTTTATGTGACGTGACATGAAATGTTATCAACACGTTGCTTATGTATCTTTATATTGGTATATGTGTACACATATATTTTAACTGCTTGTGTAAAAAAATAACATATATACAAACTGCTTATGTTACATAATAACATGTAAATGTAGGTATATATGCAACAGAGGTTATTATTTTTCATTGCCTCTGCCAGTGGTTGAGCCATGGGACCTCTGGGTTACTTCCCAATGAGCTACGAGTGTATAGAGAAGATTCCCTAGTCACGTCGGCAGGAATCAACTAGTATTTTACCAGCATGACATGGACCACAATTGTCATGTGTATAGACACAATGCCTTATATGTATCAAACTACAAGTGTGTTACTATGTGGAGTGTAGTCATATGTGACAGTGATATTAGGTCTTTAGCACAAGGTATTTAATATCAGTCTTTTGTTCTTGTCATTTTTTATGATTGATTTATCAGTTATGTTATTCTTTACTGATTATTTTATTGTTAATTGCTTTAATGTGTATCGATTTGGGACCCTTAAACAATGTGTTCAGTTTGTACATTGACCATCGTGTGCTTTTATCAACTGCTTCAAACGTGTTAATGAAAGGGAGGATCACATTAAATCAAAGCTGCTAATGGTTTTAAGTACCGGGGTAGGCACGTTTTAGAGAGTTCAGTACATACATATATTTTTACAGATCTATCAGGGAGTATGATTCGGCAATTCTACTAACAGAATGAAGATATTTCAGTTTGCGTCCTGTCCCAAAAGTTCAAATTTTATAAATCTACTATTAGGTTCGCATGCCAATCTGTGTTTATTTACACATGGAAGCTTAAGGTGTACTAAACATGTATATACTTGGTGATATGTAGAGAGCAGTCACTATGCCGCCGTATCTAGTATTGTAATGCTGAAGGGTATACAGTTTGACATATATGTATATACTTGGTGATATGAAGACAGAAGTCACCATGCCGCCGTATCTAGTGTTATAATGCTGAAGGGTATACAGTTTGACATATATGTATATACTTGGTGATATGTAGACAGAAGTCACCATGCCGCCGTATCTAGTATTGTAATGCTGAAGGGTATACAGTTTGACATATATGTATATACTTGGTGATATGTAGACAGAAGTCACCATGCCGCTGTATCTAGTATTGTAATGCTGAAGGGTATACAGTTTGACATATATGTATATACTTAGTGATATGTAGATAGAGGTCACTACGCCGCCGTATCTAGTATTGTAATGCTGAAGAGTATACAGTTTGACATATATGCAACTGTGATGGATCACTTGTGGTTCTGATATATAGTATTGGGAAGTGCATTATTTTCGTTGAAGGAGAGCTCTGTTGTTGGAATGCTGACTTCAATTTATGGATGCAAGTATTCTGTAGTTGACAATTAATTAACAGGAGGGAGATTTAATGTTTATTTTAGTGTTGATTGATATCTTAACGTTTCGACTTGCAAAATTTTATTAAACATTGTTTCAGTCATTGATGAAGCATTGATTTTCGTTGTGATATTGAAATACAATCTTCACCTGAATACAGATTTTAAAATATAATGAAGCATCTTGTTGTTTGTCATTAAAATAATGAGTGGATGTTTTTTTTATCTGGTGTAAAAGGTAATCATTTTACTTTGAGATTTCAAGCATATGATGCAATGCCAAGGTACCATTAAATAAATATTTTCTTATAAGCACATCGTATTGAAGTAAACATATTTTTTGTTGGCGTATCGATGACAATTTTCCATTAACCCGCCTCATGCGTTGTCAAGACAGATTTTTACATGCAGAAGCACAATTATTTCATTTTTGGCAGTTATGATAATTTAGCACATTTGATCGAATTGGATCGAAGAATGGCAATTAAAATGATTACTGTTAAATTCAGGAGTTGACAGTATTTAATGAAGCGATCCTAAGATACTTAGGCCAGAAAATAGAAACCAGGACTGTCAAAACAAAAGGAAACCTTGGGCCTGTTCGTTTATGCAGAACAACCGGGTTGTCCGTTTTAAATGTAACAATTTCGGGTATAAATCCTGGCGGACCTGCACATATTTATGCAGGCCTTGCAAGGCTTTGTCAAGGCTCGTCTGAAAGCAGGATCAGATTACTAGGTCCGACCTTATTTAATAAACGAACAACTGTGGTCCGACCAGTTCAACCATTTAAACGAAAACGGCCCTAGCTAACTACTCTCAGAAAAGTAGGAAAAAACCCTGACCTGCTATGAAAGTATGAGCACTTGCTGAGCCACATGTGGTACCATTCATGATATTACCTGTCCATTTCTGTAAAATATGTCAAGTCTTTCATTTTTGGCGGTTATGATAATTTAGCGCATTTGATCGAATTGGATCGAAAAATGGTACATGTACTTAACATGACTACTGTTAAAATTAGGACATTGACAGTATTGCCAAAACAAAAGAAAACTTAGCTAACCTTGCATTCTATCAGAAAAGCAGGAAAACACCTGACCTGCTATGACAGTATGAGCACTTGCTAAACCACATGCGATACCATTCATGATATTTTCTCCCACTCCTCACAGGCGCGTCTCCCGTTTTACGCTGGAAAGATCAGCTTGTCATCCCCTAGGGGGAGATAGCCTCGTGCCGATAAGCACTTGTTCAATTGTAACGTCATCAAAAGTGAATGACAATATTCATATACCCCACATGTGTTTTTGTTTACAAACTTGGTAGATTATTGTTTGTGGAGTTGTGACTGAAATAATAGGATGGGAGAAAAATAATCATACCCTACCTTGAGGGTGTAACAGAGAAAAAAATCGCCCCTCGGATAGGAGATTTCTAGGTTTTTAGAAAAAAGGAAAATCAACAACATAGGAAGATAACACGTTTCAAGTCACCAACACAATATTGATTTAAGTAAATTCAGTTGAAAAGTAATATTTTACTTGGGGAAATGTAATATATCTCTAAAGCCAAAATTTTGGCTGAATACTAGTTCTGTGCGACATAAAATACTCTTAAACAAACAAAAAAAGGTTAGCCCGAGTTTCCTTTGATCCAAACACCAGACTTGGACATTTTGACATATAGATGCACACCAGACATATAACATGTCAAAATGTCTAAGTCTCGTGTAACGGTCAGATGCAATTCGAGCAAAAAAACAACCAAAGTATACTCGGTTTTTGTGATTTGAAGGATATCTCGACACATTTAAATTTGTAGTATATGCGTCCTGTTTATAATCATGATAAGATTAAGTTGCTTTTCAGGTCATGGTTAAAGCGTGTAATAATGACCAGTTCTAATTATGGGCAAGCGTGAAGATGAGATGAAAACACACCTTTTCCATAAAGTTACAGCCTAGTTGGCCAGCTAGGGCTAACGATATGGTGCCAAAAATATTGACTTATCGAAATAAAATATAAGGTTTTTAGAAAAAGGAAAAATTGTAATGTAATATCAACAACATAGGAAAATAACACGTTTCAAGTCACCAACACAATATTGATTTAAGTAAATTCAGTTGAAAAGTAATATTCTAGAAATGACTTTTAAACCTACATGACTCCATTGCGAGTACAGTGATGGGAAAATATAAAGCCTAGCACTAGAACGGTTTATTCCGAGCCATTCCCCGGAGACGTTTATGCTGGAGTAGTAGACTTTAAAAAGGTTTATTCAAATTCTAGGAGGACACTGTTACCAGAGGATTTGAAATAAATGGATACTTCACGTCATGATGTATTTACAGAAAGGGAAAACAAGGCTTCAAAAGACCCTTGTAAACTACCAGCAGGGATGTTCCATTAGCGGTTGTTATGTCAGGAAACAGATGGACTTCTGATCATGGGATCAATGATATAAGTCGGGCTGATAAGTCACGTGGTGGCCTCTGATAAAGTGAGCCGGATCAAAGGCCTGCCTCTAGATAATCAGGAGTATGTTGGGCAATTAGGAAGCACTAATTAAGAGGGGTTATCCTTCTGTAATATCCAAGTAACTAGAGGTTTTTACTTCGTACCACAATATATTACAATCTTGGAAGTAATACTTTGCAGTGCATTGTATGGGCAATACTATTGTATATATAGGAAAATATGGTATAAACAGGAAATATTTAATCTTGTTTGTAACAAGCATTTCCATTGGCTTAAACGTTTATGTTATCCCATAACGTAAAAAAATGACGTCGCCATTTGTAACGTCGCTTTTGATTGGTTGATACAGCGGCGCAATAATTTCTAAGAGAAAAGAGTCCATCAATAAAAGTGGATTTCCACTGGGATTGTGTATAGTAGATTAAATTATAAGGATTAACTTGGATATATTTTTCATGTTTTGGAGCTATAACACAAAAAACCAGAGTGTACTCTCATTATAAACCGCGAAGCGGTTTATTTAGAGTACACTCCGGATTTTTTGTGTTATATCTCCATAGTGTATGCTACTATACACAAAAAAAATCGGAGTGTACTCTAAATTAACCGCTTCGCGGTTTATAATGAGAGTACACTCCGGTTGTTTGTGTTATAGCTCCATAACATGAAAAATATATTCAAGTTAATCCTTAAATAATCTAAAGACTCCGTTAGATACTAGAAGACAATGACCAAGTAAACATGATTATAGTTAAATTATCATTTATTTTATCTGTTCTGGCTTTATAAATGTATATACCTATGCCTAGTTTGTTTAAACTAATGAGGTATTACTGTATACCTTAATAACGGTCAATTCTACCGGTTCACAAGAGGTTATATACTGCAGATATCTGATAATGTGGTCAAATATTGAACGCGATTCATAAAAGAGTATTATAGACATCAGATCACGTGGCCCCACCATTATATGAGGGATGTAAAAACTGTAACAGACATCAGATCACGTTGCTCCGCCAACGTATGGGGAATATGAATTATACAGTAGACAGCTGATCACGCGTCTTCGCAGTGTGCAGAGATTATTGAATATATGTAAATACACTGTAGACATCTGATCACATTGCCTCACCATTGTGTGTAGATATATCTAAATGTTGTCGATATCTGATCACGTGGCTCCACTCCTGTATAGGAATATCAAACATGCTACAGACAGACGTCTAAACTCAATCCTTCATAGGCATTCTGTAAAATCACTTTTTCTACTGGGAAAGTTTGATATGACGTCATAGTTCTCAACGCCTCCTTACTGCAACATACAGAATGGACACTGGCTTGACTCACTTGTGTTTGTGTCCTCGGAAAAGCACAATGAAAACCTTGTTATGTTTTTGATAAACTTTAAATTAAACGTCAACGAATTCAATGTATATTTACTAGCCCACTACAGTATTCGATATATAAAGCGTGAGTAAATTGTCTTTTTCGTTGACCGTCAAATATACGGTGTTACATTCTTGGTGAAGTATAGCAAGTATCATTCAAGGAAAATCTCACTCGTTCGTGCATACAACATGTATGTTTGTACATATTCACATCTCTCTTGTGTCCAAGATCGTTGATGACATATATACCATCTATTCCTAAAATTAACTAGTACTGGAAACATCTGGACGAGTGGCACGATATTCCTGCTGTCGTCTCCGATGGTCTTTCTGGTGTCTCCAAGAGGCCTTCTTCTGTTCTCTTCAAGAGTTCTCCTGTCGTCTCAAAGGGTTATGTTTTTGTCCCCAAGAGACCTCCTGCCGTCTCAAAGGGTCCTGTTTTTGTCTCATAGAGTTCTGCTGTCGTCTCCAAGAGTCCAGCAGATCTGCTGTTGTCTCTAAGAGTACTGTCGTCCTGCTGTTGTCCTCAAGGGGGTCTCCTAGCCAAGGGTCCTGTGGTTGTCTTCAACAGTCCTGCTGTCGTCTCAAACAGTCCTGTTGTTGTCTCCAACAGTCCTGCTGTCGTCTCCAATAGTACTTCCGTCTTGCTGTTGTTTCAAGGGTCCTGCAGTCCAGTTGGTGTCTCCAAGGTTTCTGCTGCCGTTTCCAATCGCCTGCTATTTTCTCCAAGAGTTCTGCAGTCCTGCTGTTGTCTCCAATGGATTTTGTTGCTATTTTAAATTGTCATTTTGTTGTCTTTACGGGTCCTGCCATTGTTTTGAAGGGTCCTGATTTTAGCTTGAAGGATACGGCGGTCCGAATGTTGCCTCAAGCCGTTTCTGTCATAGTCTTTGAATTTTCATTTTTATTTATACATGTATGTTGACGTAGTGGTAGGTTGCATTTTTTAATTCATATTAGTTACGTGTGAACAATATATTACAATGCCATGTTTACTGTATGACACGACAGTGACCGATGTATTTATAGTTCACTCCATGACTACATAGTTTACTTGTTTATATAATCGATAAAGCTGTTTGTTTTCGACGCTAATTTAGTATGGCGTGTTTCCTGTGGGGGATTGTTATAATTTTCAGTAAACCAACAACCTTACGAGAGTAAATTACTCCGATATTTCGTGCAAAATGCACATCACGTCTGAATAGAAGATACAATCTAGTACAAACACATATAGTAAACAATCTTAGTTGCAAAGAAAATGAGCTTATCCTTACTGTTGGAGTTTTATACATAGTTGTATGACA